AAAAAAAAATTAAAATACTGCCTTAGCAAAAGTTTAATGATCTTTTGTGAAGTTTACGGGATATTTCTGGCTAAAATAGTTGCAAATCTTTTGTACAGTGAGCTTTATGCACGAAAAGTGAGCTTAAGCTCAGACTCCATTTTTGCACTGATGGAGTGAGCTCAAACTCAATAATTTGTACACAAAATCGTGTTGGAGTTTGAGCTTACTTTTTATGCATGCAGCCCAGTTGGCAAGATAGCATGAGAGATTCTGTCACAAAAGTCTTACAAAAAAAAAATTCCCTTGCCAACTTCCATGGTGGAAAGCTCTTTTGGCAGAAAGCACTTTGAGCATATTGGAGATGTATGTTTATAATTTTACTCGCGCCACTCCTACAGCCGCAATGGCCGAGTGAGCAAAGCACTGTAGTACTATTCGAGAGGTGCAAGGTTCGTATACCCAGTATAATTTTTTTATTTGGTTTTAAATATATATTGTTTAATTCTTTTTATTTTTTGGATTGTCAATTTGTTTAATTTCATTTTATGTTTTTTTTTTTTAATTTAATTTTTAGATTACATTGTTTTAAAATGAAAACATACTTTTCAATTTCGTTTAATCTAATTTCTTAATTACATTTTTTTCTTTTTTAATTTAATTATTTTCTCATTTTTAGATTTCATTGTTTAAAAAGATAAATATTTTTTGTAATTTTAATAACTGTTAGAAATTTACTTTGTTAACTTTTTCTTTCTATTTTGATCATTTTTTAATTAATTAGATTTATTGTTCTAAAAAGATAACTATCTTTCCTAATTTTAATAATTTTTGCAAAGTTATTTCGTTAATTTTTTGATTTTATTTTATTTTATTTTATTAAATTTGTATTTAATTTTTAATTTTTATTTTCTTAAAAAAAATATATTTTTTTATTTAATTTACTTTTAGAAAACTTATTGCTAAAAATCAAACAGAATAAGAAGCTACTACATATATTTTTTAAATTAAATTTTATTATTTTTTAATCTAATTATCTTTTAAATTTTAGACTTTATTGTTTTAAAAGGACAAATATTTTTTCTAATTTTTTTTTAATTTTTTAAAACTTATTTTGCTTATTTTTTTTTTATTATAATTATTATTTTTTACATTCAGTTTTCTTTTAATTTTTAGTTTTCCTTGTCCTAAAATGAAAAATATATTTTTTTATATAATTTACTTTTAGAAAGAAACGTTCCTCGTTAGCAGATTAAGTAGTGTTCCGAAAGATAGAAAAGAGCTTTCAAGATTGTCACCACAATCGTCGTACGGCAGACTTTTGTCTTTCGAGAGACTGTGATGAGTTGAAAGACAATTGCCTGTTTATTTCCTGACATTAGGGTGGTACATTAGGGTGGTAGAAACTGGGCTCTGCTGGGTGGTAGTACTGGAACGGGGTACTTGAGTTGAATGAACTTTGGAACGAAAAAATTTTCTCATCGAGACAAAAACATCGATATATCGTTCATCTAATTGTAAATGCACATACGACGAAAACTATAAAAAGGCGACCCCTATGTTCGTAAAAAAAAAACAAAAAAAAAATTTTGCAAAATTTGGCAAATTTGTTTTCTAGTAGCGTCTAATGTGCACACATACCCACAAACACTCCCGCATAGATCAAGAATATGGATTTGAAAACGCAAACAGAATTCGTGTTGGGAGTCAATTTTCTGCAAGAATTGTTTGATACATATATCTATAGGTGTGCATATAGCTACATACTTGGCTACGTAAGATGAGCTCACGCCTGATGGAAGACGCATAAAATTGCATTGCACCAGACTATGACACTAAAGCGTGTATAGCATATCATGCGCTTGCTGGCGTCTACACAAATAACTAGCAATAACAACATGTTTGTGCTGAAAATCTATTTTGTAGCGTTGAAATGCCAAAATAGCAAAAATCTTACGTTTCCACTTTCCACACATTTGCACAAAATCTACTTTCGTTTGTGACTGTTTGTTGTGACTTTTGGGAATATTGATACTCCCACGGTTATGGTGTCTCGATTTGATGATGGATGTGTCTCGGGACATTGAAATGAAGCTGAGGCGAAATGTGTTTTGAACATTTCTACAAATTTGCCGGTGGAGCTTTAAATAATTGAATGAAATAAAGCGTATAATGCATTAATAAAAATATCTCTAGGTTTACAAAGTCGAAGTCAGTATGCCGGTGTAATTTCTTCATTCGTCGTGCAGCATCTGTATCGCTCATGCGAGTAAATTCTCAATTTAGTAAGATTTTACCTCTTAGCTCTTTACTGTCTTTCGAAAGACTAGTTGAAAGATCTGCTAACAGCAGGTCTTAGCCACGATTGAGAGAATATATCATTCTTGGGTCTTGAAATTACTTGGAAAGTGTAACCGCTGCACCAATTTCTTCCAAACTTGCTATAACATACGAAATGGCCGAAAATTTTTTAAATCGGACAATAACCACGCCCACATCCCATATAACGGTAATTTAGAGAAATACGAAATCTTCGATAAAGCAGTAAATATTAAAGCTAATTTATTCAAAATAGGTGCTTGCAACAATTTTTCACCAAGAAATACGTTTATGATAAAATTTTGGAAAATGGGCGTGGCACAGCCCACTTATGATCACATATATGTATGTATGTATATCGGTAACCGTTCTACCAATTTATGCCAAACTCGGTACGGTTTTTGTGCTTGCCACATAAATGCAAAGCACTGAAAATTATTGAAATCGGACTAAAATTACGGCCGTCTTTCATATAACGGTAAATTTTAGAAATGCTCGAAACTTCAATATTTCGAAATTTAAGGACGCTAATTTACTCAAAATTGATTGTAGCGGTAGCTTTCGGAAAGGTGAAAAACATATATTTAATACTTGCGGCGGGTATTTAATGTTCGGCTCCGCCCGAGCATAGACTTTCTTACTTTTTCTATCTAGATCTCTACCTCTACCCCTGTTCGCTCTAATAACGTTTATGCTATTCTGTTTTCCTTTGTCTTAACTTTTATCTTCATACTCTAACGATAACAAAATCGATAATAACAACCAACAAAATATCCATAACAAAACCGATAAAAGTATCGATAACAAAATCTATGAAAAATTCAATTAAAATTGCGATAGCAAAATCGATAATAATATTGGTAGCAAAATCAATTAGTAAACGATAAAAATATCAATAAAAATATACATAACAAAATCTATAAAAAATATCGATAAAAATTTTCATAATAAAATCGATAAAAATGTCGATAACTTTAACTTTATTTTCTTATTTTTTTTTTTTTAATTTTTAGAGTTTATTGTATGTAATTTCATTTCCTATTTAAAATTACTTTTTTAGTTCAGGTTTATTTTCCCCTTTAAATTTTATTGTTTTAAAAAGAAAAATAATTTTATTTTATTTCGTTTAATATTTATTTTATTTTTTAATTTTTAAGTTTAGATTATGATAATTAAAAAAGAAAATGATTTTATTAAATTTTTTTTAATTTTTAGAAACTTAATTTTCTATCGTTTAATTTTTAGATTTTAGTGTCAAAAAATATATACATATCTATATATTTTTTAATTCATTCTTTTGTTTAGGAACTTATTCTATTTTATTTTTTATTTTGTTCCTTTTTTTTAATTTTATTTTATTATTTTTTAGTTTATATTGGTCATTAAAAAAAAATTTTAATTTAACGTTTAAGAAAATCGTTTTTCTTTTTTCTTTTTTAATAATTTTTTTTTTTGTTTTAAAAAGAAGATTTTTTTAATTTTATTTAATTTTTAGAAACCCATACATTTTCTAATTTAATTTTCTTGAATGCATTGTTTTTAATTTTTGGCTTTTTATTGTTTTAAAAGTAAAAATACATATGTATATATTTTGTTTTTATTTAAGTTTTAATTGCTAAAAGACAAACTAAAACTAAGACCTCGTCGTTAGCAGATCTTTCAATTAGTTTTTCAAAAGACAGAAAAAAACAAAGCAAAGTAGTTGCCGGAATTGACAATTGCCTTATTGAAAACCTTAGTCTTTCAAAAGACTGGTAGTTTGAGACAGTTGCCAGAGTTGCCCTGTTAGAAAATATAAGTGTCATTAAATCATGATTCAGCCATCGATATGCGTTTAAAAAAAATATTTTGTACTCTCTAAACAGTGACTTAACCGCTTAAAGTAATCTATGAAAAGTAATTATTTAGAAAAAACACCTAACAATAAGCAACCAGAAGTATAAAAAATGTATGAATCTTCGATGACTATGTATTTGTAAACCACAAAAGCAATGAAATTTAGAAACGTCTACAAAACAATTACTCGACACTAATTAAGTAAATTTCGAAATCTGATATTTCTTGCATATTTGTGTGTATGCACGTATTTCAGTCAATTTTTGCAAGCTCATAAACTCAGTTCCATTGATTTGCCACCAACAAAACTAATTGATTAATTACAGGTTAATTCATTATTGACAGCAAAGTATTTGTAAGCAACGCTGTCAAAAAGGGGCCGTAGCATTGGCGACTCAATCAATCAAACTATGTAAGTACACACAAAGTGTAACAGTAATAAATTACACAAATGCGGAAAATACGTGTAAACAAAAAAGTTTTTTGTTTTTTCAACAAATGGCCAACAGCAAATAACTTTGGAATGTCAAAAAAAAAAAAAAAACTAAAATAAGACCGGACTTTTCTGAGGGTTTTCACATTTGTGCGAATCATTTGCTGAACGCTAATGGACCGCACATAAATCTATAGTAAATGTACATTAAAAATGTATTTATAGAACATTGCTTACCTGTAATAGTTGAGTATTTGCGTAAACACACCCGGATGGCGATCGAAGAAATATTCATTCAACACCGGATCATAGTTGGCCAATGCTTCGGTGAGGCGGGATAAGCGTGTGGCGGGTATTTTTTTCAAAGTTGCTTTGTAAGTTTCATATCTGTAAGTAAGCGACAACAAGAACAACACGCAATATTTCAATATTTAGAAAGTACGAATAAGTAGTTCAAGAAAAGAAATGTCAATGGCACTAAGAAAAATAATAAATAAATACTTACATACTTGTAAATAAGGCAAAGAAGTAAATGTACAGAAGGTATGCTTTTGAATAATTGATATGCCTCGATTTACTTATAATGAAAGCTGGTAAGTTGGACACATATAAATATACATATATATAAGTACGAATATTTTGATGAATTTACATTTGTGTCCACATCAAGCCACACGACCAACCAGCAGCCACAGCTATAGCCACAGCCACAGCCACAGCAGTAGTCAGTCAGTGTGCGTACGTTCTTTGCCTTTGGAAAAAGCCTTGACACATAATTTCATTAGAAGCCAAGTGTTTGAGCGTAGCACACTACTACTTTGACTAACGGCAAGTTGACGCACTCAGCAGCTACATATAACCTTGTGGCGGCATGTGGCACTAATGTATTTGGAGCATGAACATTGATAGACTGCGATGTATACTACCATACATGCCCTGCAGGGAAACCGCGGACTAGTGAATCAAATTTCTAGTTCCGTACAAAATCTTTATCGCCAAAAACGAACCAGTCCGATAATAACTATCAAAATCAGCGAAATGTGGTACTTAAAAAAAAAATGATTGGGTTATTCACACTTGCCGGGCTATCAGGTTATCTGGTTAAAAATTATTATTCTGTAGGGTATGTTATTATTGTAAATTGAATAAAAAATATAACCGCATAACCAGATAACCTGATAACCAGGCAAGCGTGAACAACCCAAATTTAATTTCACTTTTTCATTACAGATCTATATCGAAGGTGACGAATTTAGAACTGGTTCGAAATTATAGAAAAAGGAATGTGGAGAGAACTATATCTTATTTGTCGAATTTAGAACTGGTTCGGAGAATTATAGAAAAAGGGATACAGCGGGAACTTGTTTACTTTACATAGACATCTGTTTGGCGGCTTTTTCGTTCAAATACACTTTTATTCTACACTTCGCAGATGCTTTTTCATAGTTTGATAATACAAAACCAAAAGTTTGTGTTAACATTTTAACATCTTGGCGCCGTCTGGAATCTAACCAATAACAGCGGGCACCTCTGCAACGACAGCTACAGCCAAATGTATGGAAGCGTACATTTCTTACAATCATTCAAACAAATTTAATTTCAAATTGAAAAAAAAAAAAAACATTTCTTTGAAAATAGTTTAAAATCGCACACACGGAAAAACCGAAAATATTGAAAAATCATTATACTTTTTTCTTTCGTCTGTCGATTTTAGAACATGTTCGGAACTACAGAATTTATAACTGGCTCGAAAGCGTGAACTAAATGTACTAGACGCGCACCAGTTCAGAATTGGAGATTTTACCCACAGGGTGGGTACATGGTAGATGAGTGTACGTCTATGCGTATTTAGATAAACACACATCCATATGTACTCATGTATATACATATGTATGTATGTGTGTCAGTATATTTTGGTCACTTTTGGCAGGAAATGCATAAATGCTCTCGTTTGCTCAATGAAATTATTATAATATGCAATTTGAGTTATTTAATTTATATAGATTGTGTGTTGAGTTTGAGGTTCGAAACGTAAAAAACACTAACAACAAAGAGGACAAAAAAATCCTCAGATGAGCTCACGTAATGAATCATCATCCATCAGTTAGCATGTGTAAAGCGGATTTTTGTTCTCATCAAAGCAAATATTTACTTCAACGCCATCTAATATATCAGTCTCAATTCATTCCAATCCGGCTGGCGCGCGCTAAGCACACCATTAGATCTGCAACTATATTACAACTGTCACGTGAAGCAGCGAAACTTCGGTATACGATTTGTTATGGCAAAGGGATTTCATCATCATCCGTATTAAAGCGAGCCTGTTCAAAGTCTCTCTCGCTTAAGACCGTTTCTGAGACTTGAGGCACCGCGACCTAAAGAAGCAGTCTGAGCGGTCTGAGACTGGTCGACTTCGCTCAAATCACTGAATTACTGAAAATCGTTCTTGAAGAAATCAATATAAACGAGCAGTGCGAGATTCTACTACGGACTTGGAGCTACTTTCGGGACTCAAGCCCAGGCTATGGACTTGCAAGTGTGCTCATATCTATGCAATTTCGCAAAGGCAGCACCGGTCACTGTTCTCTTCTTTGCATGGCCGACCTATCATGCACTTATCTCCACAGGAAACCAGTTTTATGCGGCCCTGGCAAAGGTCAGCGTCGCATGCGCCAATAATAGGTCCAGGTGCTCTGCAGAGGCTCATCAAAACGAACGTTTAATTCACGTACATAGGTGAATTTTACTGCAGAAGTCAAATTCATACAAGTTTCTCACATTTTCCATAAAAATAAAAACAAAAAGTAAGTGCGCCTGGTCCACACTGGAGAAGTGAAACTTACGTTACATATCTATTTTGTCTCATAACCAATATATGTACATACATAGATCTAGATCCCTACGTCTACCCCTGTTCGTTCTAATTGCATTTATGTTACTCTGTTTTCCCTTATCTTCGTTTCTATCTTTATACTCTATCGATAACAAAATCGATAGTAACATGCAACAAAATATCTTTAACAAAACCGATAAAAATATCGATAACAAAACGGATGACAAATTCGATAAACATTTCGATAGCAAATCGATAGTATTGGTAGAAAATCGATAAGAATATCGATAACAAAATCGATAAAAACATTGATAACAAAATCGATAAATAATCGACAACAAAATCGAGCACAAAAATCGCTTGAAAAGTCGTTAAAAATGTCGATAACAAAATCGATAACAGTTTCGATAAAAATATCGATAACAAATTCGATAAAAATATCGATAACAAATTCGATAAAAATATCGATAACAAATTCGATAAAAATATCAATAACAAAACAAATAACAATATTGATAAAAAAATCGATAGCAAAATCGTTAAAAATATCGATTACAAAGTCGATAACAAAATTCATAAAAAATATCGATTATTATATCGATAAGTTCCGAAGGTATCGTTAGCGAAATCGGTAGCAATATCGATTTATCTTTGTTTTCATTCTTATGTTTATCATTTTCTTCGTCTACATATTCCCCTTCACCTTTTCCCTTATACACATAAGTAAATTGTTTAAATTTACTTTGATCTTAATTTTTGCCTTTATCTTTAGGCATCTTTGTTTTTCTTTTTATTTTTACCTTTGCCTTTAGCCTTTCCTTTATCTATGTACGTACTCACTTTTACTTTCATTCTTGTATTGGTCTTTTTCTAAGTGTTATTCTTTAACCTTTTATTAACAAGTTTCTGTTAAATTCATACCATGTGCATAAACTCAAGAATCACTTGTTTCAATTTCCGTTAAATTTGCCAATTTAATGCCAACCAACCAACCGCCGCTAAAGAAGCTTCACTTCAAAACGGTTATTTTCGGTGATATAACTTATTTCATTTTTGTTGCATTTGAGAAACCATATCGTTAAACCCAACAACGTGCGGGTGGAACTGTGGACAAAAGTTTAAGCCTATATATGAATTCAATGCATAAGAACCATGCGATCACATGTACCTAAGTATATTTGGGACCATTGGAACACATCCGCATACATAGGCGACTAAGCGTGTTGGGCATCAGTTTCAACAGCTGATGACAAGCCGATTGTGAAATGCGGATGAGAATGGACAAATGCACAAAATCATCTACGCATAAGTATTTGTGTGCACACCTACATACAACCACTACACATAGTCGGCCTTAACGCATGGTCTGGTGCATAAATTACCGACAAACAAAAGCGCTTTTGCACTTGTTTGAATGAGACTAACACAAGGAAGCATTTTCCGAGTGAAATTGCATTAAATGCATGCATACATAAGTGCATTAGTACATATGTATGTATGTACATACATACAAGAAACGTTGTCATGCGGTTGAGCTAAAACGCAAATCGCATTAAAAACAACAAACGCCACCACTGCAGCATAGCTGCCACTAAGAGATGAGAATAAAAGCAGCATCATTCACAAGTAAACATGGAATTTAATTTTGACCTCTGCTTGTCACATGCAATAAGAAAAACAAAAATTGAAATGAAATAAAATGCACGAACTGATGTGATCTGTGGTTAAACTACATGAATATTCGATTTTCCAATGATTTACAATGCATGGATGGCAAAGTCAATAGCGAATGCACATTGAATGGTGCACAGTGGTTCGAAATTTTGTGTTCACAATTTACTGGAGCCTTCATTTTTCACTCAATTACGATTTTCTATTTTTTAATGAAAGCTAATAAAATTTGCAGGTGATCAGTTGAGCCCGACTTTTCAATATTTTTATTGTTTTGTATTCAACTTTTTAGTGCAAAGTGCAGAAAAAGATGAAAAAGAAATCTTCCAGTTAATAAATCTAACATAATCAAGTCATAAACGAGTTGAAAACAATTGTAGGGTTCACTCAAAAAGAAAAATATTAAAAAAAAAAAAAAAAAAAAAAAAAAAAAATTCGCCAAAATTATTATTTTTTTTTTATTAAAAATTTTGGGTATGCAGTTTCATATATCATTCAATTTTAGTATGATAAAGTGCAAGTTGCACCAGGCCAAGCACTCGCGTTGATTTTTAATAATATAACAAACGCCTTTGTTTCACATTTAGAATGCAGACCTGCATATGAATATAAAAATTGCAAATGAATTATACTATTTTACTATTTACACAAATTTCTATTATAACATATTTAAATATTTTATAATAGAATATTAAATACATATCGTCGCTCCCAACGAAGAGTAGCACATCTCAAATTACCGTGGAAGACTAGCACGTTTCACTATTCGCGTCGAAGACTAGCACATTTCATTATTCGCGTCGAAAAGTAGCACATTTCAGATTCTCGCGTGGAAGACTAGCACATTTCACTAATCGCGTGGAAGACTAGCACATTTCAGATT